TCTGGGCGGTCCCGCCGCCCGCGTCCTCCGTGGCTTTGCTCCGCGTCTCCCTGGTGTTGCACTGAGGGATGCTTAAGCCTAAATTTGCAATCTGATTACTACTAATTAATTAATTAAACCTCAGTGGAAGTTGCAGATACCACCAAACCTCATCTATCATAGGTGTTTGTTGATTAACTTGCCGCAGAGAAATAAAAACGTTACACAATTTAAGGGGGTCAAACCATATATTGTAAAAATTTTAAAGGTACAACAAGGAAATAGGTATACACTCTTAATATCCCCAACCCAGGAAGAAATAAGAGGATAGAAAAGTACCCACAGACACAAGGTATGACACAGTCAATAATTACAATTCCAGTCGTCGACGATGGACGGTGATGCACCTGTCTCTCAAGCCTTTGGCTAATTAAAGCCTCTAGCGAGAGACTAAGAGGCGATCCCTCGCAGCGATGTCCTCTGCGGTGCTCTCGACCTCAAGCCGTAGGCTCCTTCCGAGCCCTTGGTGAGGAACAGAGAGGCGGTCCCTCGTAAACCCTGGGGACGGGTGGAATGCAGGCAGGTGGTGAAGTCCTCCTCCGGGGCCTTCCGCTCCTGGACGCAGGTTTCACTGCTGGTAAGTTGCCTGGCTCTGGCCTTCGGGTTGATTCCGCTCTTCAGTTGGAACCGGCAATAGACAAGCAACTCCTGTACCCAGACTGGATACATAAAATCCCTATCTAAACTAACACGACGCCTCCCGTTGCAATATAATACCCCGGCCGCTTGAGCGTAGAACCGACGCACTATACTAACGGACAGACTCGATGACGAACCTCTAACTAACCTAGCTACCAATTAGACATGGACAGGGGATAGGGTGGAACGCTGCAGAAGTAGCAAACAGCGAATAAGCGGGAAAGGTGAACCAGAACTTAAGTAGTCTCTCCCCATGAATATTTATGAGCTGTAGCTTTAAACTCATTGGACCTTGTTTGGGTAAACAAAGGTCTCTGATTGGATGCCTGAATAAACAGCTTCTAACTGTCTGGGGTGAGTGTACTGTGTCCAGCAGCACATGGTGACATGTGCAGCTACTTGCGTGCTGTGTGCAGCAGCACATGGTGACGTGTGCAGCAGAAGCTAGAACCATCTGTGTAAATATTCATAGTGGTTATTGTTTATTCAGTGTCACTGCTCGTGCATATTAATGAGAAGGCAGGGACCCCGTTACACTGGTCTGCTGAGGGGCCGCCCCAGCAAACCAGGGAGACGCGGAGCAGCTTTTCTCGCCCCGGAGGACGCGGGCGTCGGGATAAGTCGGATCCGTGTAACCCGGGGACTGCCTGTACTTCCCTTTTGCAAGCACAGTAATAACATTCTGTTACATATATTTAATTTCTTGAACTTTCCTCTAAGTGTAACCTATGGAAAATAACTTTGCCCGGTCAATGATGGGCTTCATCTACTATTTATTGGGTAGCAGGTTGTTCTAGGATTGCAGATATTAATGATCTGGTCTACCAGTTATATTCCCAGATAAAAACCTAGGCTCAGAAGGAGCCAGGAATAAGAGGATTTATCAAAGGATAAAAATAGGTTGTAATCTCAAAATTAAAATTTTTAAACTCAGGAAATTCAGAGTTAGGGTTACACTTAAAATAAACTGTGTATTTCTTTCTTTTAGGTTAAGGAATCCAAACAAATATAACTCAGCCTAATAATGATTCCATAAGCAATACAATTTACAGGTTTTTTTTTAATAATTGTGGTACCAGATAAAAAAAAAATTGTAAATTAGATTAGGTTTTTTTTTTCATATTTCCCTTATGGTGTTGATATTCATTAATACAGAGCTTAATTACAACTTAATGTCTTCCAGTACAGTTTGTGCACAAGATTTCAGTTAATCTTAACTATATGAAAAGTTTGAAGAGTCTGCCTTATTCCATTGTTAAGATAATTCAGGACAAAGAAAAGTCTGAGACGGCAGTAACATTTCTTAAACAAAACATATTTTATTTAATTTTACTCAAACTAATTACATTACTGAGTTGTAAATTCTCACAAAAATAATTTTCACCAGTCCAGAGAGCCTCCTGGTCCCGGAATGCACCATGCAGGCCTCCAGCAGCAATTTACACAGATACAAATACTTAAAGTGCATGGGGGTGGAATGAGTACAATGAAATTGTTTAAAAATATATATATATATATTTTTAGCTCCACTCAAAACACAGGGGAGAAAAGTTGGAAAATGGAAAATCAAAAAAGGATACAACTGGTCAAAAGCTATGTTTTCAAGCTTCCATTTTATTGCAAGCAATAATCTGAAATATCGTTATAAATGACCCCACACTGACTTTAACAACCAAGTGATGTTCCAAGTTACACAAAGCAAGACCAAAAACAAATCCATTCAGAAAGGGAAGGCTGATACATTCTGACTTTCAGCCATCTCAAGCTTTCACTTAAAAAATAACTGCTAGCCTAGCATTGTCATGCCACTGCTGTAGCACTAATCATTGCAGCTTTGCTGATTCATATGCATTACCACAACTAAATCCACCAGTATTTTGTCTTAGATTGTCACCAGATTTAGAAGGCCCATATAAAACACAATAATAATCCAATCAGAGGAATATATTGAGCAAATCTTTGCTCAGAAGTCAAAACACTGGGCAATGTAACATACCGAAAGGTGTATGCAACGCCCATGCCATTGCACTAGTCGGGAGTTTGTCAGGGCCGGTCCCTTCTCTGGCACTCCAAGTGCAGAAGATGGGGGCCTGCAAGAAACCTTAAATACCTTGCCTTTATTTTGTAAATACCTTTACAAAAACTCCCCAGAATCACAGATGCACTATCTCTGAGAAAACAAAACAAAACCGAAACTGCCACCATCAAGCAATTTACCCTAAAAAGGAAATGGGGGGGCACGAATTCCTTCTCCAGGGGTACCCTAAGCTCTTTTGCCCTAAAAGAGCGTGAATCAAAAAAAAGTGAAATACAAAGCTGCCATCTCTGGTAGCTGACCGCTCAGTCTAGGCAGGTAGAAATACCACAGACCTCCTGTTACTTTCCAGGACACAAGAATCAAATCACCACCTTAAAAAAGTGATTTTTATTAACAAAACAAAAGATATATTTGATAAACTATATTTAATTGCTAAGTGTTAGAGAGCAACTAAGTAAAACAAATTAAAACACAGAAAAACTCTAGGAACAACTCTTAAATAGTGAATGGGGGAGGGAAGACATGAATTCACACAGAGAAGTTCAAACAAAACAACCAAAATAAAGCAAAATACCCTGATCACGACTAGATCTACTTTTCCCTCTACACACGATCCATACTGATCTGTATTTCCAGGTCCAGTTTACTCCCATGTCCAATATTTCTTAAAGGCATGATCATTCTGGTCCCTGCATCTGCTCCCTTCAGCCCTTAACTTAGTATCCACACAAAGGAAGAGCCGACCAGGTATCTATATCCAATTCAAATTGCAGCACTGTATCCCCATTGGTTCTTTTGGCCCCCTGCCAACACCTTTGCTAGCTACCTGAGTTTAACCCCTTAGTCACTGCATGCTGGCCAGCACTCCTCCTATCCATCACAGAGTTATTGTAACACACTGTGGAATATGATCAGAACATACTGGTCATACTGGGTCAGACCAAAGGTCTATCTAGCCCAGTTTCCTGTTCTCAGACAGTGGTCAATACCAGGTGCCCCAGAAGGAATGAACAGAATAGGTAACCATTACGCGATTCCCTCCCCTGTCACCCATTCCCAACCTCTGACAAACAGAAGCTAGAGACTCCATTCCTAACCATCCTGGCTAATAAGCAATGATGGACCTAGCCTCCATGAATTTATTTAGTTCTTTTTTGAATCCTGTTAAGGTCCTGGTCTTTATAACATCCTCTGGCAAGACAGGCTTTTACAATATCCTCTGGGCAGGGAGTTTCACAGGTTAATTGTGTGAAGAAAAACTTCCTTTTGTTTTAAACCTGCTACCTATTAATTTCATTTGGTGACTCCTATTTCTTGTGTTATGAGAAAAATGATGAAATTGAAGGAATGGTATAAATACCCCTTTGTATGACTATTCCTGACATCACTGGTTACCATCCAATGATTAAGAAAATGTTGGATGACTGGAAAATGGTTCTCAAGAATCTATGGGCTGTTTTTTCTGTTGATTGTTTACCTCATTCATCTAAAGGGGTTGAATTCACTCCTGTGCAAAGCGCCAGGAAAAATGCGTATTCACAAGTTCCGCTTGAAGTCTCAAAATTAGGGTTATCAGATGGTTTCAGAAAAAATACCGAACTCACCCCTCCTCCGAGAGTTGTTAAGCAAAAACAAAGAAACAAAACAAAAAAGACCCTGAGAGTTGATAAGCAAAAAAACCAGCATGGCCCCTTTAAGAAACATGTGGTGAGGCTTTTGGCCCTAACAGGCTGCCCGCCATCTTGCCTCCCTCCGCTGGGCCAGACAGCTCCCCTGCGAAACCCAATAAGCACTAGGGTTGCCAGGCTGCCTCCATATTGAGCTGGATAGCCTGGGATTTTCACCTTCTGGCCAGGAAAAAAAAAAATCAGAAAGTACCAGACATTTTAGGTGTCCGATATTTTCTGATTTTTTTTTTTACCAGACAGGAGGCAAAAATACTGAACTGTACGGTTCGATACCAGACACCTGCAAATCCTACTCAAAATAGGGCTTAAGTAGGATTGTAGTGGTAATTTGGTCTGCCCAAGCTACAGGGCTGAATTTCACTCTAGAACTGCATGGACTTCAAAAGGACATTATAAAGTTCTCTGAAATTTGTTTGAGTCTGGAAACCAATTTAAGCCTCTTTTCCGATTCCTTTTGAACATCCAAGCATCCAATTGTGGCTGGTGCAAACACATGTGAAAAGCCGATTTTTAAATAGTTGCCAAAAACCCATTTTGATTAAATTTGTAACTTCTCTGGTTATGGGATTGTCTTTTGGGTCTGGGTTTGCACAGCACACAACAGCACCCTAGCTCAGGACTCAGGCTCCTAGATGTTATTAGCAATAATACTTAATAATGTTAATTGTCAAAGTCACAGTTCCTGTGCACCATCCTGACACTAACAGATTTTTTTCTTCCATTCCTCTAATCGAATAGATAAATGCTGCATGAAGCCCAGGGCCAGCAGGGACTCTTGTACATTTCAAAAGTGGAATGCCACCACTGCGCCCCCTGCCCCTCCCATGGAGCTAGAGGGCACCATCTTAAGCCAGCTGCCCCCAGCTGCTGCTCCTCCTCCCCCTCCAGCAGGGGGGGAGCAACTAGTTGACTAGTGCATCAGCTATCTGATAAGCTTTTGCTTATTGAATAGTCAACTAGTCACTTACAGCCCTAGTTCCTGCTAGTCTGTTGGTGAGGTTCTTAGGCCAACTTATCAAATGGTATCACTCAGAGGCACACCACTGCTGGGCTGCTCTCCCCCTCACCCTGTCCTCAAATGGCTGCTTTTGGATTCTCTACCACTCATTTCACTAATGGTAGCTGGCAGACTAGAGAGCAATCTGAAGTTTTTGGAAGCACATGCAGTTTATTTGCTACTTCTAGATTCTGGCAGCCACTGTCAGGATGAACTTTGCTGGGACTACAGCTCTTCCTGACTCCAGTCTTTTCCAGGTCTCTCAGGCCTGTGCTGAGGGCAGCTGTCCCTGCCTCACCAGCAGAAG